GCTTCCTCGGGGAAGGGTCGGGTCGGCCCCCGAGGGGGGGAATCAAACTTGACGAGAAACTGGCGGCAACGCTGCCATTGGTCACCAAGACTATCCAGCACTGGCCCTGATTTCCCGCGCGGCCGATGACAGCGCCGCGTAGGCCGTCAATTGGGCTCGCACCTCGCATTGTTACCTCGGCGCCTTCCTGTACGGGCGGTGGCGCGGGCGGGAGGGCGAGGCCCGCGACGTCGGGCAACTCGTCTTCCCTGTCGGGCCGCGCGATGACCGCGGCGAGCCCGGGCTCGGCCCCGAGGGCGGACGACCGGGACCCAGAGCTACCGGGCGAGCTGTTCGGCAGGTGCACCCTGCCCATGGGGTGCCACTCGCCATCCGAACCATCCGCTCGCGAGAATGCCGCGGAGGCTGGTGACATTGTAGGCGGTGGTGCTGACACTGGCGTTTGCCGCGCCGTGGGCGTCGCCGTGGCTGGCTCCTCCCCAGGCTCCACCCTAATGGGTGCACTCGTGGAAATTGGCGCTGGCCGCAGCGCCGGAATCCCAGGTAACGGCTTAGTGTCGGTCGTTCCCACCGTGGCAACTGCTGGGAAGGTAACGACGGAGTTCAACGGCTCGTCGGTAAGTGCTTTGGGCCTGGCGGGCTATGGTACGACCTGATGATTGGCGAAGTACACCTAGTCGCGTCCGAGGAGGATGTCGTCTAAGGCGGGACAGAAGCCTCGCGCGACGCACACCCCTCACAGTCATTCCGTCTGGGTCGTATACTCCCCAAATCTGCCCAAGCTCGCACCAGTTGGTCACGTCCTGGGCGAGATCCTCGTAGATGCTCATGAACATATCGTATTCGATGCGGTCGAAACGGCAGCGAACGATGAGGGCACAGAGCTCCCTGAACCTCTGATCCTCCTTGCCCTCGGACTGGTACAGACTGCGTATGTACTGGCGTGGTGACAGAGGACGTGGTGATGGTACCATTGGAATGTGAGGTTTCAGCGTCGTCCGTGAGGTTTTCACAGCGTCGTCCCTGGTGGGTTCCGTGGAGGAAACATCGCAACTAGCAGCACCGGAGACTGGGGGGGGGGGGGGGGGGGGGGGGGGGGGGGGGGGGGGGGGGGTGGGGGGGGGGGGGGGGGGGGGCAATATCGGTGTCCTGGTGGGCATCGACTGGGGCCGGCATCGACTGGGGCCTTGAACCCTGGGGGGCCACGACTGGGGCCTCCACCGTGGCCGCCGCCGCTGCGCGGAAGAATAGCAGCGCAGGCCTCCTGTCGCGTAAGCAGGCTTAGGGATGGAAGGCTCGGCGGCCATTGCACTCGCCTGGCCGGCTGGCCCCTCTGGGGCCGAGGGCGGCCACGGCAAAGGGAGCCTCTTGCTTTTGGGGATGTTGCAAGGAAGCGATCCCTACCTCAAAAGCGTGCGATGGGGGATGCTACTGGTGGGTGTGATCCCGTAGACGGCCTTGGCGAGCGGAGGCGTGATCGGGACGTCCCAGTTTTGCGCATCGAGTATGATGACGGGGGCTGCGCCGTTATCCTGGTGGATACCGGCCGGGGCCGCGAACCCTGGTGGGGGTCACGCTTGGCGCCCGTATTGTCTGTGAGGGCGGAATGCAGCATTGTGCAGCTGACCTTGACTTCCCCGCACGATTTCATCACTTCGCTCCTGAGCCAGCGCTGGCTGGACCGTTGCTGTCATAGACAGCATCCAGATCGGTTGCGTTTTTCGACAAGCTCGCCGTGGGCTGCAGCAGCCCGGTCTGCGCCGCAGCCGCTTTGAGAAGCGGCGCAGGCCTCCCGGCGTACGAACATCCTCTGGACAGGAGGCCTGGCGGCCCGTGCCTGATGGCTTGGGTCGCGGTGGTGCACGGCGCACACTATGCGAGGGCCTTCTGGAGCCATTGCGGCGCGCGCGGGATGTGGAGGTGCCGCGAAAAGGGAAAGAGGAGGGGGGAGGAGGAGAGATGGGAGGGGAGGAGGTGGATCGTGCCAGATTTTGTTGACCAATGACATACCAAAACAAAACAGCACAGGCACACGCATAGATTATAGCACCCCGCAATTGCGGATAAGAGTGAGGGGGCGGGCGCGGGCGACGCGGGCGTCGTCGAGCCGGCGGACCTCGTGGCCCCCACCTTCCCTGTCGATGGCGCTCTCCTCCTCCTCCTCCTCATCCTCCTCCTCCTCCTCCTCCTCATCATCATCATCATCATCATCATCATCCTCTTCCTCGTCCTCGTCCTCGTCGTCATCGTCATCGTCATCATCCTCCTCCACCTCGTCCTCCTCCTCTTCTTCCTCGTCCTCCCTCTCCCCCCTCCCCCCCCCCCCCCCTCGTCCCCCTTCCATCTCATCCTTCCCATTGTCCGTCCTCCCCTCGTCGGCCTCCACAATCGTCACTCCCATTGTAGTCCATCATCATCATCCTCCCCCTCCTTTCCCTCCTCCCCCTCCTCGTTCTCCTCCTCCCCCTCCTCCCCCTCCTCCTCCTCCTCCTCGTCCTCCTGCTCCTCCTCCTCTGTCCCCAAAGTATCCTTACATCCTCTCTTCTTCCGCGTCCTCCTCGTCCCCTGTTTACTCCTCCTGCCTCCCCCTCCTTTCCCAAGATAACGGCAACGCAATCCTTTTCCACATGGAAGGAATGCAAAAGCAGCCCGCCGCAGGCGCCGAAAAATGTGGTTTGTACCCTGAACGTGGTTTGGGTCGCGGGTTGTTCGCGAGTTGGTCGCGGGGTGGGTCGCGGGCTCTCCACCTGGAAGGAATTCAAAAAAAGCCCGCCGCAGGCGCCGAAAATGGTGCTTTGTACCTTGAAGGTGATTTGGGTCGAAGGTGGGTCGCGGGTAGGTCGCGGGGTGGGTCGCGGGTGGGTCGCGGGTGGGTCGCGGGTGGGTCGCGGGTGAGTCGCGGGTGGGTCGCGGGGTGGGCCGCGGGTGGGTCGCGGGGTGGGTCGCGGGTGGGTCGCGGGTGGGTCGCGGGCGAGTCGCGGGTGGGTCGCGGGGTGGGTCGCGGGGTGGGTCGCGGGTGGGTCGCGGGTGGGTCGCGGGTGGATCGCGGGGTGGGTCGCGGGGTGGGTCGCGGGGTGGGTCGCGGGTGGGTCGCGGGGCGGGTTGCGGGTGGGACGACGACAACAAACAACAACAAACAACAAACAACAAACAACAAACAACAAACAACAAACAACAAACGACAAGCAACAAGAGTCTGGACCGCCAATTCCCACTGCAGTCAAGCACCAAGCAACACACAAACAACAACAACAACAGCAACAACAACAACAATCATTTTACCCGAACGCTCAGTGTTCTCACCAGTGCCAGGGTTTTCATGCGACGCGAGACAATACCCCCACTTCGTGGGGGGGCAATGCAAGCTCTACCAAACATCCACACGACTCTCGGGAACCACCCACACCCAGCTTCCCGCCCTATGACGTCAGGACACTTCACTTCGTGGCGCGCGGACGATCGTGGATACTACACTGGCGTGGAGTACACACCCGCAGAGGTTAATCAATTGTTTGGGCCCCGCATGTGCCCCGCATCGTGCATTTGTTGCGCATGATATGAGAGCAAGACAGAGAGAGAGAGAGAGCAAGACAGAGAGACAGAGAGAGAGAGAGAGAGAGCAAGACAGAGAGACAGAGGAGAGCTACGGTGCGATTCGTGTGATTTTATGATGCGCGGTGCTAAAATTCTTAAAAACCCAATGATTTTTGGAGATTTCGGCGTGCGCGCGCGAAGAAAAAACGAATGTGTCCCGCATGGTATTATTTGACAGGGATGATGGCCCTGGCAGGTGCGCAAACGTTGTCGCAGAAGTTCGAAAAAGTTGCTCGCAAAAGCCCGTTTGACAGAATTGTTGAAAAAGTGTTGGTTTTCCTACGAATCCGCAAGAGCGCGCGGAAGAACATTTTGACATTTTTTTCTTAAAAAACCATTGGGTTTTTGATGTTTTTATGTTAAAATCGCTCCGAAACCTAAGGTTTTGGAAGGATTTCGTCTTGCGCGCACGAATGTCCACTTTACCTTATTTTTTGCAAGAGATTCTTGCAAATTGATCAAGTAAGAACAAGAATTTTCATTTTATAGTGTTTTTTGCAAGGGAAAACGGAGTACAACAAAACAACCGGATCCGGTAATAATTCACTTTTCTGAAGCTTTCACTAAAAAATGATGAAAATGTAGCTGCGGCCTAGGTTTTGGAGGGGGGTCGCGCACCAGGGGTCCCAACAATAATTATTCTTTAGAAGTAATAATGTTCAACAACAACAACAACAACAACAACAACAACAACAACAACAACAACAACAACAACAACAACAACATTGACAACAAGAATCCGCACCGCGGAATCCCACTTCAGCCACGCACCCAGGGACAGTGAATGACCGTTCGGCCCCCTCACTCTGAGATATATATATATATATATATATATATATATATATATGTGCGTGTGTCCATAACACACACACACACACACACACACACACACACACACACACACAACACGCACAGGCACAACACAAAAACAAAACAAACCAAAAAAAACGTTCCGCATCCTCCCCCCCTCTCTGAGGAGGAGGGGGAGGGGGCCAGGGGGGAGGAGGAGGAGGAGGACGAGGAGGAGGAGGAGGAGGAGGAGGAGGAGGGAGGAGGAGGAAGGACGAGGAGGAGGAGGAGGAGGAGGGGGAGGAGGAGGAGGGGGAGTAGGGTGAGAAGGATTAGGGAGGAGGATGAGAATTAGGAGGGGAAGGAGTAGAAGGGAGAAGAGGGGGAGTAGGAGAGTAGGAGAAGGAGGAGGAGGACAAGGAGGAGGAGGAAACGGGTGGGGAGGGAAAAAAAAAAGCACGAGGGACCATGAAGGAAGAAGACGGGTAGGACGAAAGGGGCAAAAAACCGAGGCCCCACTCGCGAGCGCGGCTGCACGGGGGGCGGGATGGCAACACCTGGCAGACGACGTGGCCGCGCTCTGGCTCCGCCTCTCACCGCACCTCCTCTCGGTGCGCCTAGTGGGCCAGGAGGCTGGCCACGGCCGCCAGCGGCGCCAGCAGGGCGACCAGGCTGGCGCCGCGGCCACGCGCGGAGGACCAGGTGCACTGCATGCGCTCCATGACGACGGGGCCGATGTTGGTCACGATCTCGTCCGCAGACTCCTGCAGACCGGCGACCTGGTGGGAGGCAGCTCGTGGGAGGGCTTCGCAGGAACGACCGAGGGCCACTGAGCCAGACGAGCCCAGACTGAGCCCAAGATTGAGCCATATTCCACAGGATTAGGCCAGACTGGGCCTGTTCTCGACCACAGATGTACCAGCGCTGATGCTGACTGCAACTTCCCAGGAGTTTCGTCCAAAGACCTGGGTGGTCGCCATGGACATGAAGTCCTTGACGGTGTCGATGACGACCGACTTCAGGGGGTAGACCTTGCTCATGTGCGGCAGCATCAGCTCAGAGATCTGCCAGAGGTTGTGCAGGCCGGAGTGCATGGTGTTGAGCTTGTTGTTGTCCGCCACCGTGCCTACACGATGTGGGCGCGGTAAAATGCCAAAGTGCTCTCTGGTAGGCCCCCTGGTCGACAGCCGAGAGGAGCCCAAGACGGATCAAGCCGCAAACAAGACAGCTCAAGGGGGATCCCAAGGCGGCCCGAGAGTCCAAGAGGGACTCTGGAGGGCCCCACAGGGGCCCAAGACAGCCCAGGTGGGCCCCGTGCGATGAACCTCAGGGCCTTCTGGACGGTGATCCGAGCGTGGTCACACAGAGTGCTGCGCTGGCACGGCGGCGAAGTTGCCCCAGGCAGCCGGATAGTCGCTGATGTTCGCCATCACGCTGGAGATCTGACTGCAGGCCTCGGGCAGCGTCGCCTTCGCAAGCTCGCTGGCGTTCACGCGAAGCGGGACCGCGTTCGACCGCAGCTGCTTGATGATGGGCATGAAGCTCTGGCGGAGCTCCCTGGGCATGACGACGTTGAGGTCCCTGGCAACCTTCTGGGCGTCCGACTGTAGAGCCTTGACCCGGAAGGAGGCCTCGTGAAAGTAGCGCGCCATGAGGAAGGAGAGCTCCACGTCGGACGCCTTGCTGCTGGCCAGCACGAACTTCGACGACTTCCGGCGCGTGATGTTGAGGAAATCCTGGACGGACTGCGTGACCTCGGAAGAACAAAACGGCAAAGGCGTAAACTGCTGGAGGTCCGCGCGGATTTTTGGGAAAGGCGCTGGACCCCCCTCCCTGGCGCGCAGAGCGCCCGGGTCGGTGCGAGAGGCGCCGCCAAGGGGGGGGCCAGCGCAGATCCAAGAAATGCGCGCGAAACCTCGAAAGTCTGTTTGTGCCGCTTTCTCTTCCTCGAGACCTCGTCCTTCGCCCTGTAGAGCCGCTTGAGGAAAATCGGGTTCTCCACGGCCTGCGGCAGGGCCATGAGCACGTCGACCATGATGCCGAGGGACATCTCGCCGAGCATGCCGCCCGCATCCTGGCCCTTGGCGCCCATCAGGGCCTGTGCCTTCTTGATCATCGCCTCCTTGGCGGTGCGCTTCTGCTCCTTCAACGCCTGCACCTCCCTTTGCTTGGCGTTCCTGCGCTCCGAAGCGGCCAGGCGGCGATGCTCGGCCTCCTTGCGCAGCTCCTTCATGGCCAAGGTCGCCTCCCTCTTTGCCACGTCCATGATCTTCTGCTTCTCCTTGAAGTAGGCGAGGGCGACCCTGAGGGCCTGAGTCTTCGTCTTAAAGTCCGCCTCCTCAGGGGGGCAGAGCAAGCATCCTCCTCGCAGGGCATCCCAGAAACAAAAAAAACAAAACAAAACAAAAAAACGCACCCGGGAAAGGAATCGATCGGAGCAGGACCGTTCAGTAAACGCCGAGGTCCACTACAAGGCACGCGCAAACGTGTACGAGGGATCCGTGGATCTTTCGCGTGGGCGCCAGATCCACGCATCGGGGAAGGCACCTCGGAAACATGGGGCCGGTGCCGCCTCGTCTGGTGCCGGAGCGCGCCGGCTCTGCACGGACACGGGGCCCATCGCTGATCCACGCGCCCTGATCCATGCCTGCGAGGAGGAGGAGCAGGAGGGAGGAGGAAGAGGAGGAGGAGGAGGAGGAGGAGGAGGAGGAGGAGGAGGAGGGGGGAGGAGCAGAGAGGAGGGGAGGAGGGAGGACAGCAGGCAGGGAGGAGGAGAGGAGGAGGGGAGAGGAGGGAAAGGGAGGGGAGGAGGAGGAGGAGGGGGGAGGAGGGAGGAGGAGGATGGAGGAGGAGGAGGAGGAGGAGGAACCGCGCCCTGGTGCATGTTTGCGGCTCCTCGAGTTTCGCAAACGCCTGCCATGGGGGTCGGGGTGGCGCCGCCGCCCCCTGCACTCCAGCAGCGGGATCGCCTCGTCCAGGCTGGCCGTCAGGTTCGCGATGGACCTGTGCTTCCTCGTCGGCGACCTGCGCTTCTTGGGCCTGCCGCCCTGGTGCATGTTTGCGGCTCCTCGAGTTTCGCAAACGCCTGCCATGGGGGTCGGGGTGGCGCCGCCGCCCCCTGCACTCCAGCAGCGGGATCGCCTCGTCCAGGCTGGCCGTCAGGTTCGCGATGGACCTGTGCTTCCTCGTCGGCGACCTGCGCTTCTTGGGCCTGCCGTCGTCGGCCTCGCCCTCCAGGAAGTCCTCGAAGTAGCCCTGCGGAGCACCGAGAACACATGCGAGTACCTTTACGACCACCCTTCGGGTGAGACGGAGGTTGGGGGGGGGGGAACCAACTGCTGGCAAATGCGCTGGGTGTGATGATGACGATGCTGGCATCTATCTCAAGATCAATCGCACTGTAGATCTCAATCTAGATCTCTCCTTCGATCTCACTACCGATCTCACGATCGATCTCACGATCGATCCCTCGATCGATCGCACTATCGATCTCACAGCCGATGCCACAATAAACCTCGCTGCCGATTTCACTGATGATACCACCTCCATCCCAGTCTGGCGATCTCGTGATCGATCTCACGACCGCCTCCACGTTATCGATACCGAGGCGGGACACCCCCGGCCACCGCCCGCCCACCGCCCACGGCACACCGACGGGGCACCAACGGGACACCCACGGGACACCACCCGGGACACCACGGCGGGCCCCCCCGGGGCCGACGCGCGCTCCCCGGGAGCGGAGAGGGGCGGCCCACTGCATCCGAATCGCCCTGGCGACGAAAGGGGGGATTCCTCCCGCGCGCCCACGCAGCTTCTCTGTAAGAACGGTTTTTTGAAGGCAGATCTGCCTTCAAAAAAGCAGATCTGCCTTCAAAAAACCGTTCTTACAGAGTAGACCAGTCTTTCCTCCTTGCCCGCACGCACGACACGAACACGAAAACGAGACCGAGTTCCCCGTCTGGGGCTCGCCGTCCCACGGCGCTCTCGCCCCCCCCGCCGCCGACAGTGTGCTTATGCCGCAGGGGGCGTCTAACCCGAACGTATACAGTCGGACCTAGCACAGAAGAACATTCTTCAAGAATCTGAGACCCTCCACAGGCCAAAATGGAGAGCATTCGAGGGTACCCTAAGCCACGATGCACAAGAACATTCAACAAGCATGATGAATATTAGGGTACCCTCCCCGAACCGAACTCGATCTTATACCTCAGTCCGACTGTAACCAACACTCAGAGTTTCTTGCAGATCGCCTCCCAAACGGCATGGCAAGAAAGCAACCGCCACGCAGGTCGTCCTACGAGACACTTCTGAGCGGGCGGGTCGCCCCAGAGTAAAAAAGTGCGCTTTTGGGTGACGCCGCTCCTGGACTTCCTCGTCCACGTCTCCAATCGGCTGCGAGAAGCTCTCCTCGTCTCCGATGACGATGTCGCGCCCCTGCGCAAACACGGCGGTGTCTGCAGACACCGCGGCGAAGCCCACGCAAGCGAGCACCTTGGAGAACATGCTGCCAGGCCACGGGTGCGTTGAGAAAGACTTACGATCAACGGAACACTTGCGCGCAAAGGACAAGTCAAGACACGGAACGGCTGCGGAGGAGGGGAAGTTCAAGGAACAGAAGACTCAGAAGGACGAGGAGGAAAACCACAGGAGGTGTTTGTGGAAGCGGCAAAGACGGAAGCGAAATCGCAAAACGAGGGAAGGACATGGAAAAGAAGAGGGAGGAAAGAGACAGAAAGGGAGAGAGAGAGAGAGAGATATAAGGAGAGCGAAGGGAGGAGGGAGGTGCCTATAGATGAATGTATGCATACACATTACATGTGTTGGAAAGCACATGACAAACATACATGTGAAAATGTATATGAATAAACATTGGTCGAGCGAGGACGAGGGAGCACGAGAGAGACCAACTCATGTATATATATATATATAGAGAGAGAGAGAGAGAGAGAGAGCGAAAGGTATGGGAACAGGAAGAGGAATAGGGGGAGATAATGACAGGTAGAGAACATATATATATATATATGTGATCCCGGGCTCCGGGCCCACGGGCCCCCCCCCCAGATGGTATGGTCCCAGGATTCTTCGGGCCCCCCCCACAGATGGTATGGTCCCAGAGACGACGACGACGACGACGACGACGACGAGGACGACGACGACGACGACGACGACGACGGCGACGACTACGACGATGGCGACGACGACGACGATGACGACGACCACGACGACGACGACGGCTGCGGCGGCGACGACGCCGGCGGCGGCGGCGGCGACGACGACGATGACGACGATGACGACGGCGACGACGACGACGACGACGACGACGAGGACGACGAGGACGACGGGGACGACGAGGACGACGACGACGACGACGACGACGACGACGACGACGACGACGACGACGACCTCTGAACCACCACAGCACCACACCACATCCACAGGGGGGGGGAGGGGGGCATCGCAGCGCAGCACCACGCCACGCCCACCTCTGAACCACCACAGCACCACACCACATCCACAGGGGGAGGAGGGGGGCACCGCACCGCAGCACCACGCCACGCCCACAGGGGGGGGCGGGGGGGACCATCGCGCGGGGGGGGGGGCCCAATGGCATCAGCATTGGGGGGGGGGCCAAAGCCCTGGACCATATATATATATATATATATATATACATACATATTTAAGAGAGAGAGCGCGTTTCACAGGCGCTCGCCTTGGGAAAATTTGGCGGCGCGTTTCGAGCCCGGGGGGTGGGCACACACACACACACACACACAAAAAAAAAAAAAAAAAACACTCGGCGCCGTCGATCAGCACCAGGGGCTCCCCTCCCCCTTAACCCCCTCCCCTCCCGAGCTCGCCCCCCCCCACCCTCCCAAGGGGGGGCTCCAAACCCTCCCCCCCCCTGGCGCCAGGGTCGGCGCTGGCGGCCGCCGCAGCGCCGACGACGGGAACGCAGCGACGATGACCATAGAAGACCCAGGAAGGGGTACGGGGGAGAGGTTCAAAAACCCCCCCCACCTGCGCTGGCGCCGGCGCCGACGCTGGCGGCGGCCAGCAGCGCCGACGGCGGGGACGCAGCGACGATGACCAGAGAGGGCCCAGAGGCCGCAGAGGGAATACACAAAATCGCCATATCGAGCCCTCGCATGCTCCTTAGACGCCCCCGAGACCCTTCTGACGAGACCTCAATAGGCATCCATGAGAACTCTGACCCAAAGCCAAAATACAAAGGCCGGAGGAGCCAAAGGCCACACCACCACCACCACCACCACCACCACCTTCACCACCACAACAGACCACCATACCACCACCACCACCACCACCACCGCCACCACCACAACCACCACCACAAGCACCACAACCCACAACCACCACAACCACCACCATCACCTAAAACCACCTCACCACCACCACCACCGAAAACGCCACCACCACCAGCACCAACACAACCCACCACAAGCCACCACCACCACTACCACCACAAACCACCACACCATTACCACCACCATCACCACCACCGCCACCACCACCACCATCACAACAACCCACCACCAACACCACCACCACCACGACCACCACACCACCACCACCACAACAACCACCACCACCGCCACCACCACCACCCACCACCACCCACCACCCACTACCACCACCAGCACCACTACCAGCAGCACCACCACCACCACCAACACCACAGCCCACCACCACCACCAGAGAGAGAGAGAGAGGGCAAGAGACAGAGAGGGATATTGAGTAAGGAAGAGGGAGAGAGAGAGAGAGAGAGAGAGAGAGATCGAACAGAGAGAGACAGAGAGAGCGAGAAATACAAAAAGGTAGTGATATACGGATCGGGAACAGAACTCTATACACCGACGCATTATCCGGCCCTGCATTGAAATTTGCACAGGAAAACGGAGCCTGGTGTACACTAGACCCTGGTGTATACATGTGTCGCTTCCCCAGGAAAAAGATAAAACAAAGTATGCTCCACGCCACCCCGACGTCGTCCCCGACCCTCAAAAAGCCCTGGGATCGAAAAACAGCCCGCCACTGGTACTGTATATGTTCTGATTTCCGAAGCTTTCGTGGCCCTCTTCGAGCATCTCCCTGGGAGTATGGGGGACACTCATGGGCCTCCAGGGCGCTATGAAGACCGAGAAGGGGAGCATGCAGAAATCGCACCAGAACCACATAAAACCACATGCTGCGTCCATGGCCCTGGTCGGGGCCTCTGGTTGGTCCTCGTGGAGGCTTCCCGGGCCGTACTAAGCCGTCTTGGCGGTGCCTTCGGGCTCCGATAGCTCCTCCTGGGCCCTCCAAGGGTCTTTTTGTGGCTTCTTGGCCGATCTTGGTGCCGCATTGGGCCGTCATGGGACCGGTTCAGGAGACCCCACGACTGCGCTACAGGTAGTCGGCAGGTAGTCCGCAGATGTAGCACGGCTTACGTCGCAAGTTTGTCGAAAGAACCTATCATACACGTCTTGCACATGTCGCCTCGCGAGATACATGAAAAAAGCTGGCCCCCGTAGCCTGCTCCTGCGTCGCAATTTGGTCGTGGATACTCCTCCTCCGCTACTCTTTTCTTCAGCAAATCTCACGCCGTTTCGTGCCAAATTTCCTCCCTCACCCCTCCCTCCTCCCTCCCTCCTCTCTCATCTCCTCTCCCTCATCCCCCCTCCCCACCCGGCCCTGACCCCTCTTTCCCCCCCTTCCCTTCCCCCTTCCTCCCGCACCTTTTCTCCCCCCTTCCCCACCTCCTCCCCCACCAGTTCATTCCCCGCCCGGCCGCCCCGGGCCCACTTGCTGACGCCCTTGCTGATCTGGCCGCTGATTATGAGCGCGCCCGTGCCGTCCCTGAAGAGGTTCCCGACGTTGATTTGGCTCGCGCCTCGGCGGAACGGAGCGGAGCTGGCCAGGAGGAAGGCGGCGGGGACGCGTGGGGGAGTCCTCGTCCTCTTCCTCCTCGTCCTCTTCCTCCTCCTCCTCCTCCTCCTCCTCCTCCTCCTCGTCCTCCTCCTCCTCGTCGTCCTCCTCCTCCTTCCTCCTCCTCCTCTTCCTCCTCCTCCTCATCCACCATCTCTCCCCATGCTCCTCCCACCTCCCCCTCCTTTCCCTCCCACTCCTTATCCTCCTTCCTCCCTCCTCCCTCGCGGCCCCGACGACCACGCCAGGGCAGTCGGCCCCGACGACCACGCCAGGGCAACCAGGGGCGAAGAGACACTCGACAGGGAACCTCACGATTCTACATTCCTTGAGATCCTGGCGCCTCACTTGACTCGAACCGGCTCGAAACACGACGAAGAACAGTGGGGCTCGAGGGCTCCAGGCTTGACTTGTCGCGACGCTGCGTTCTTGTCGCGACGTCGGACCTCAGGGCCCGACACTCGACAGGGAGTCTTCGACGGGGAATGTTCCACATCCCCCGACCGAAAAACTGCTGTTGAGCTCGCCGGACCCCCTCGTGCGCGGGAGCGCGATCGGCCGAGGGCTCGCCCAGCGTCTGTATGTCAGGAGGCAACTACTGGGAGGTTTGCGTCGGAAAGATTCAGGAGAATTTAGCCCCATTTGGCAGATATTACGCCTCGGATCAAGCGGGATCAAGCGGGATCAAGCGGGATTAAGCGGGATTAAGCCGGACTTCGGACCAACACACAATCAGAATTTGACCTCCCAGGAGTTGCATCCCAATGTATTCCCGCGAGAAGCCCATGGACCGCAAGTCTCCAGGTGTCGGCGTGCCCAGGGCAGCCTTCGGCCAGGAGCAAAACGACGCCGAGAAAGCAAGGAACGGCTGCAGATTCCCGCGCCCACACGCAGATGCGTCGATATGGTTAGGGCTATACGGCGCCAGTGATTCCCTCGTTGAGAGGAGGAGAAGGAGGAGAGGAAGAAGGGAAATCAGCGACCTGGCTGCGGCAAGCCATCACAGTCCCTAGGTTAATTGGCATGGGCGGGCCCATAGATGGCACCGAGGCATGGGGGACCGCACTGCGCCGTTGTGCCAGATCCCATGAAATCTAGAAAGCCAACTGTACATAATTATCCAGGGAGAAGGACGGAAATATGATGATATCAGTGCAGAAGTTCAGATGATAGAAAAACGCCCCGATGTCTATCGCCCCAGAGACAGTACCAGAGGAGGGAGGGATCAAAGAGGAAAGCATCACAGGTCGGGGGGTGAGAAGAAGAGCATGTAGAAGTAGTAGCCGTCTCCGGCCACGATGGAGGCCGCTGGGCTTCTGGCGACGGGTGCTGGCGCACCGGTATGGTCAAGAGACCCCTCGGCTCAACGGCCTGGGCGGGTCATGCGTTGAATTCCACCTCCCATAGAAGCGATCTCGGGAGGATGGGAGTGGGGTGCAGGTGTCAGGCGGAGCCGCGGTGAGAGGCAGGAGGTAGCGGTAGTAGTGTTTGCGGAAGTGGGATAGAAGTCCTAGTGGTAGTAGTGGTCGTGGGAAGTGCGAGTTCACGTGGTGGTGCAGTGGCGGTCGGCGGACCGTCGGTCCCCGCCGCCAACTGGGTGAACGTCACCGCACTGGCGTCGGGACGGGAGCCGGAGTCGGAGTGAGAGCCGGGATAGGAAAAGCAGCTGGAGTCGGGGCTTCTCGTGGTCATGCTGCAGGCGGTCGTCGGCCCCTCCTGCTCCTCATGGGCACTGGGCCAGAGGCACCGCCGCAGGCGCAGGCGGGCTCTGCTGGTGAGGGCCTGCTGGTGGTGTCGCTCGTCGCGGCGCCTGCCGGTGAAGTCTGCTCGGGCCAACGGCCCGGACGCTGGCTCGCCCAGCGTCCGGGCCGGCGCCCGAGACGGCAGCTATTCTCTCTGCGGCCGCACCGGGCCGCGTCGTGTGCGCGCCCGCGCCAGGCGCCGCCGGAGCGGAGGGGGGCCGTGGGCACGCTGCCTGCCCAGCTGCGGGAGGAGAGGGGGAGGAGGGTGGACGATGGCAGGGCCGGGGGAGGGAGGAGCGAGTGTGTGTGTGGGTGTGCGAGTGCGGGTGGGAAAGGGGATGCAAGTGGAAGCGACATCTATGTGTATATAATAATATATGTATAAAATATATATATATATATATATCATATATATAAATATATATATACACAGTTCATTATATAAGAAGTGGGGGGGAAGAGAGAGAGAGAGAGAACAAAAAAAAGAGCGAGAGAAAGAGAGTGTCAGACAGACAGACAGACTGACTGACAGGCAAGTAGGCTGGCAGGCAGGCAGGCAGGCAGGCAGGCAGGCAGGCAGGCAGACAGGTAGGCAGGAAGGCAAACAGAAGGAAGGACAGACAGACAGACAGACAGACAGACCGACCAACAGACTGACTGACTGACTGACTGACTGGCTGGCTAGCTGACTATCTCAGAGGGACGAAAGAGGATATCAGATCCGGTGCATGTGTAAAATATTCAGACTCGACATACACACTTGTACTTCTACACACATTCATACACACCTATATATACAAGCATGGCAAGAAAGAGGGAGGAAGAGTGAGAGGAAAAGGGGGAGGGAGAGGGAGCGGGAGAGGAAGATGGAGAGATAAAGGAAACAAGAGAGGGAGCGAGACAGAGACGGAAGAACAAATGACAGTGGGACAAACAGACGGGCAGACAGACAGAAAGCCAAACACGGAGACAGAACAACAGAGAGAGCCCCGAGAAAACCCCTATCCCTCCCTACCGCCCTCATCCCCTCCCACCTTTCCCTAATACTACTCCCTCTCCTCCTTCTATTCTCCATTTTCCCCCCCCCAACCCACCCACCCACCCCACCCAACCCCACCATCCCTCCCACAACACCCAATCACACATTCATCAATCCTTCTCCTACTCCTCCTCCTCCTCCTCATCATCATCATCCTCCTCTTCATGCACATCCACCTCCGCCTCAGTCTCACAATACTCCTCCTCCCTCCTCCTCCTCCTCTTCCCTCCTCCTCCTCCTCCTCCTCCTCCTCCTCCTCCTCCTCCTCCTCCTCCTCCTCCTCCTCCGCCTCCTCCCTTCCGGAATCATCCCCTCCAGCCTCCTATTCCCTCCTCCCTTCTTCTTCTTCGCGCCCTTTGGGACTCCGCGGTCCGGCCGCGGCGGCCCCCCCACCGGGGCCACACCGGCTAGGGGATCTAAATATCGCTGGGGCGGTTGGTGGGCTCACCCCAGCCGCTCGGCGTCCCCACTCCACGATCCCCCTCCCTCCTCCACCCTCCTCCCCTCATGCCCCCCTCGCCCCAAGGCCTCTTGTCGTCAAGTGGCTCCGTGGGGCGCTCGTGGTGGAACCGCGCCGCATCCTCCCAGGTGCGACAAAGCCGCCTGCGAGGCTATTGAAGCTCCAAGTATTCTTCCCCTCCTCCTCCACCTCCTCCTCCCTGTCCATCCTGTGCTCCCTTTCCTCCTCCTCCTCCTCCTCCTCCTCCTCCTCCTCCTCCTCCTCCTCCACCTCCTCCACCTCCTCTCCTCTCCTCCTCCCGCATGTGTATTCCTGGTTCGTACACAATAGCCAGCCGATAGCAAACGGGCGCAAGTTTACGTGTTGTTATTAGAATGCATGTTTTGTTGTCCACGTCACCACATGCGAGGCAGGAACGGGCCAGGGCGCACATGCCGCGCGAAAGGGTGAAATGTAATTGTCTCCTCGGCGCCGCCCCCATCCTTCCAGGAAGTGGGCTCCCGCTTGAGCGCGGCTCACATTCTTCGCACGCCAAGTCGTCGACGCGAAGGCGGACGAAAATAAAGCTTCTGCCTCGGCGTCGCGCCGATTTCGTCGTTTGAGATCTGCGCTCCCGCCGCAGCACGGCGCACGTCGCTCGCCAAGTTTGGGGGGCCCCGCGCGAGGAGGGCGACTCGTCAGGCCGACCATGATCCTCATCGCCCTCGCCCTCATCACCCTCATCATAGCCATCAGCGCCATCACCGGCATCACCGTCATCCTCAGCACCACGGTCCCAACAAGAATCCCCCCAAGCGGGGATTTGCGGTTGGGGGGGCCAGGGCAGGGCTGGATTTTGAGCCGGCGCGTGCGGGCAGCGGGGAGGCAAGGGGGAGAAAGGTAGCTCTCTCTCTCTCTCTGTCCTGTCCACGCTGCAGCTCTGCTGCTCTCGCTGCTCTCGCTGCTCCCCCCCCGGGGAGGCGAGGGAGACGTGCTTGAGCCGGCGCGTGCAGACACCAGGGGAGCGGGGGGGAGGGGACAGGTTGCGTGCGTTCCCGCCCTTGCTGCTGGTCTGCCCTCTGCTGCTCGCGCTGCTCCCCCCCCCCAGAAGGCAAAGGAGACGCTCCCTGGGCAGGGTCGCCGGCGCGCTGGGCGCCGCGCACGGGTAGAGCAGGGACGTGACCGAGTCCGTGCTCGCCTCCCGCACGGGAAGCAAGGGAGGGAAGAGGGAGCAGAATAGGGAGGGTGACGGGGAAAGAGGAGGAGGAGGAAGAGGAGGAAGAATACGCATAGCAATAAGAAGCATACAGAGAAGATGGCGAAGAAGAAGGAAAGGAAGAAGAATAAGCATTATAAGAAGAATGTGTTGATGCTGGGAGAAGAAGAAAACAAGAATAATACTGAAAAGGAAAAGGATAAGCACAATAATGAGGAGAAACATGATGAAGGAAGAAGAATAAGAAGAAGAAGAGGGAAAAAAAAAAAAAAACGAGAAGAAAAAGAAAAAGGAAACAAAAAAAAGGAAAAGAAGCGGGGCGCGGCCAGCGAAAGCGGCCAAGGATGGGCCGAAGGGAAAGGATGCAACGGTAGCCTTGGAAAGGCTATCATCCCGACTGTACCGCAGGGAAGGTGGGCCGAAAGAGATGGAGCCCCCTGTGGGCCACGACACGCGTGAGTGGTGGCACGGGCGAGCGAACTGAGGCAACGACTGCCTGCGGAGTTTTTCACGCCTGCCTGTTGGTGGCGGTGGCGTTCTTATAGGGTTTGAATGGCGTGGCAGGGACGAGCGACACGAGCTCACGACACGGATTTTTTCATGTCGGCCCTCCATGGAGCTCCTACGGGGCTTGAATAGCGTGGCAGGGGCGAGCAAAAAGGAACCCACGACCACACGCGGATTTGTTCATGTTGGCCTTCAGTGGATCTACGATGGGATGTTTAAAAACATGGCAGGGGCGGGCGAAATCAGCCAACGACAGAAGGCGGACGTTTCCGTTCCGGCCTTCTGTGGAGCTCCCATTATTTAGCGCCGACCGGAGCAGCGCACAGGAAACTGACTCACGCATGCTGGCAGGACTGCAGCAACCACTACGTCATGCATTCTCGCCACACCGGCTGGGCATCACTCTCGCCTGCCTTGTGCCGAGGCGCCCTGCCCGTCTGCACCGGCAGAAAATTCTCCGTGCGGGCGACGGCCCGTTCGGCAGCCAGGCCGTCTGCAGCTGCGAGCGCCGTGGCGGCCTGCGTGCGCCAGTGCCTCTGGAGGTGGGCGCGCCCAGTCCCGGCGCCAGGGTCCCCCGCCGCTCTCCCCATCGGCCCCCGTGCTCGGAGATCAGCCTGCTCACGCCCTGGTGGTACGCGGCCGCCGCCTGCTCGGAGCTCGGCTGGGGGCTCGGCTGCTCTCCAAGGGGCGCGCGGATGGGCCCGTGCAGCATGCCGACCGTTTTCTGTTGTGCAGCGCCCAGGCGCTTCCGCAGCGTCGGCGCTGGCGATATCAGTGAGAGGCGGTGATTACCGAAAGCCCGCCCACACTGCCGGGGTCTTGTTCCACGGGCCAGCCGCACATGTAGCCGCCCAGCACTACGCATTCTCTGCCTCCAGAAACTCTCCCACGCCTTCGACAGAACATCTTCGACAAAGTACCGTCGACGTGGATCGTGAAGCCAAGAGCGTCCAGGGCGACCGCCGCCTCCGAGGCGGCATCGCCTGCAGCAGCCCAGTTCTGGCTGAAGTACTGCAGCGCCTCCTCAAGGCAGACCGCAGGTTCGATCTGGATGCGCGGACGTGCCTCTGGCGCGAGCAGCAGAGCCTCGACCCATGAAAGGGCTTCAGAGGAAGCAGAGCTGACCCGCAGGCGCTTCATGGAAAGCATCCTCTGCGCGCAGTGCCGCCGAAAGGTTTGCCGCAGCTCACGCTGCCGTGCGTCTGGGCTCGCAGCTTCTGGGGCCTCGCGAACCCTTCGCCGGAGAGCTTTGACAGCGAAAGGCTCCCGGCCTGCGTGGCGCTCCATGCGGACTTGTTCATGTCGGCCCTGCATGGAGCTTCTATGGGGCTTGAGATAGGGCGACGATATCTATACATATCCACTGCTCCCGGCCAGGCCAATCCTGGGCCCAAGAGCTGTGTACACGCCCTCCTGGCTTGGCCAGGGAGGCATATACACCACTCCTGGGCCCAGGATGGGCCTGGCCAGGAGCAGTGGATATGCATAGATCTCGTCGCCCTATGAGAAGCGTGGCAGGGGCGAGCGAAATGACCCCACGACTGCATGCGGACTTTTTCGTGCCGGCCCTCAGTAGAGCTGCGATATGAGGCTCGAAACGCGCGGCAGGAGGCGTGCCAGGGCAGCGTCGGGAGGGAGGCGGAGCAGCAGGACCGGGAGGAGGCCAGGCACTGCTGATTCCACACGGAGCCCCGGCACCACAGGACGGTTAGGAAGAGGAGAGCAGAGGCAGAAACGGCAGAGGGAACGACGACGACGACGACGACGACGACGACGACCACTATCACGACCACAACCACGACCACAACCACGACCACGACCACGGCCACGACAACGACCACGACTGACGCGAGCGAAGAGAGCAACGACGTCGTCACCATGATGTCGCGCCCTACCGAGCCACCGACCCGCACTGAAGCACCCGCGCACCAGCGCGGCCTTTGAGGCAAGCTGGGAAGTTCCCGTCGGCAATCGCCATCGCGGCCGAGAGCAGAGAGCAGAGAGCAGGGGGCCGAGGGAGGGCAGGGGCAGGGGCTGGGGCGGGGGGGTGGGGGGCTGGCTCCTGCTCCTGCTCTCCCTCGCCCCCCTGCTCTCTGCCCACTGCCCCTGCTGCCTCCCCTCCCGCTCCTGCTCCCACCTGCCCCTACTAGGAGCACGGGCAGGGGCAGGGGCAGGGGTAAAAGGAGAATGCAAGGAGGACGAGCAGCTGAAGGAGCGCACTGCACCCAAGCGAGCCCTTCCAGGGGCGAGAGAAAAATCGGATCCCCCTCGAGGGGGCTATCACCGGTCGCGACGGCCGGGCAAACGTCACCACACTCTGGGAGTACACCGATCGGGAGCGAGGCCGAAGGAGCCCCAGGCGAGCGGACGGGGACGGGGACAGGACCGAGGACGGGAGCTGGCGAGAGAGCAGCTCTAAAGGCGAAGGAGGCAGACGAAAGGCAATGGCAGCAGCGGGAGAGCGAGAACGAGAGCGGGGAAAGAGCGGGGGGCGGGGGCAGGACGAACGGGGCGGAGCGGGGAGCAGCAGCCGCACGGGCACGGGGGCAAGCGCAGGGCGCGGAGGCCCGAGGGCCCGCGCTCCCCCACGCCCGTCCAGGAGTCGCCCGCCTCATCAATCGTCCACTCTCGTCCTGCCCTGCCCTCGCGTGGAGCCCACTCCTGTTCTAGACACCCCTCTGCGTCGGCAAGCGTCTGCAGCGCCCCATCTGCAGGCTCCTCTCCCTCCGCTCCCATCGTCCGCCCCACAGAGCAACGGTGTGTTAATCCTCCCCCCTCCTCCAGCTCCTCCTCCGACTCCTCTTCCTCCTCTTCTACTCCTCGTCGTCAGCATGCTCACCAGCAGTACCACAACAACAGCCACAATCATCATCGCCGTCATCAGTCATCTTCACAATCGCCATCCCCATCATCACACTATAGTCATCATCACCCCCATCAACATCATGATGGTCATCACCATCCTCATCTTCATCATCAGAAAGCCCCGATGCCGCTCCTGTTCATCCTCCTCCCAAAGATGTCCAGCCTCCTCCGAGTCCATCTCCACGTTGTCCTCCTCCTCTTCCTGCAACTCCTCCTCCTCCTTCTCCTCATCATCATCATCATCATCATCATCATCATCATCAGCATCATCATCATAATCATCATCCTCGCCATCATCATCGGCGCCATCATCAGCATCAGCATCAGCATCATGATCATCATCAGCAGATTCATCATCAGCATCATCGTCATTGTCATCATCATTTTCTTCCACATAATCATGAGCAGCAGCAGCAGCAACATCATCATCAGCATCATCGTCAGCAGCAGCAGCATCAGCATCATCATCATCATCATCATCATCAGCATCATCATCATATTCCTACGCCTCCTGAATCTCCTCCTCATCCTCCTCCTGCTCCTCCTCCTCTTCCTCTACCTCCTGTCTCCATCCTCTCCCTCCTTCTCCTTCTCCTTCTCCTCCTCCTCTTCCTCCTCCTCCTCCTCCTCCTCCTCCTCCTCCTCCTCCTCCCCCTCCTCCTCGTCCTCCTCCTGTCAATACCATCA